TTGTAACCTATATTATCGAAGCCTAAATTATCAACAACTTTGTCTGACGTTATAAGTGGGGAAATTTAACCTAAAAAACATGGTGCCTGAGAATTGCCTGTACATGAGTTTGCCTAATCTAAACCAACCATGTGCCATGTACACGATAACACAACCACAATGACCTGCACTATGTTCTGCGTTCGGTCTGGAGTCTCCAGGATGGTAGATCTCAAGGATGAAGATCAGGCACTCATGATGTTTATACAGAGTATACTGTGCTGCTTTACAGAACATTTTACAACTGCAGCTGTGTTTCAGGTATCTAAAGTTATAGAGAAACAAACAATGTCTTTGATTTCCAGCACATAGTAAAAAAGAAACATATGGGTTAAAAACAGCAGCTGGGTATGGATCACAAACACAGTTACACTTGTTGTTTAAATACATGTACAATGATATGAAAAAGTAATTAACCCCTCCTGTTTTCTTCTGTTTTCAAAACCAAATTTGTAACAAATTAAACAAATTTAGTTGATAACTAAAATCAATTAAATTTGGCACACCCAGGCTTGATTACAGCCGGTCCTGCTGAATTTAAAAATCACTTAAATAGAACCTTTCCAGCAATGTGAAGTAAGCTAAAAGGTCTCAACAAGTAGCACACTATGCTGCAATAAAAGAAATTCCAGAAGAGAGGAGAAAGTTATTGAAATACATCTGGAAAGTATCACAAAGCCATTCCTAGGGCTCTGGAATTCCAGTAAGCCACAGCGAGAGCCATTATCTCCAAATGGAAAAAATTGGAACAGTAATGAATCTTCCCAGAAGTGTCTGGCCTACCAAAAATCCTTCAAGAGCACAATGATGACTCAAACAACTCAGACAAACATCTAAATAACCGCAAGCCTCCACAAGATAAAGTCAGTGCTAACGATTTCACCATTAGAAATAGACAAGGCAAAAAAATGACATCTATAGGAGTGTTGAAAGATGAAAACCACTGCTAACCAAGAACATAAACAGCAACACTTTTAGAATAATATTCTGTGGACTAAAAGTGGAGTTGAAGCTGGTTTAAAGCTAACACAGCACTCCACAATAAGAATATCATACCAACAATATCAAACATGGCAGTGGTAGTGTGATGGCGTGGGGATGCTTTGCTGCTTTAAAGCCTGTGTAATTTCCCTTAAATAAAATTCCTTGGCTGTCATTTCTTTTAGAATACATTGAGGAAAGGAATACACTCCCTTAAGTTTAATGGACAGCGTGAGAAGCTGAAGGCATGCCTGAGTTTCTGAGATGTTTGGAGAATGTACCTGTGCAAGTTCTTTGTGATAGCCAGATTGCTAACTGATTAAAAAAATGTAAAGGGTACAGGTATAACCATGCCTAAATGTACAGAGCTAGCGAGTTGGAAGACGACCTTGACTGCCGCACTATTAGCCAGTAAATATTGATTCTGGTACATTTCCACATCTCTTTCAACCGAAACTACATACGTTTTAGTGCATGTAGGACTACACGCTGAAGAAAATAATGTCTTTAAAATAAGTTAAATGTACATAAAACATATAGATACAAGATATTTATTTTGCTGTTAATAACGTGTGTGCAGACTGGGTGCTGTGGGTTGTGTTAGCCTACATAACCAGGCAGCAGCTATGAAGGACTTCTTTTTCCAGAATAAATGAATGATAGTTAGCCACCATGCATTAATCCAACAAGCATTTTGGTTAAAAAAGAGATTTTATTTTAAGCTTTGAGATAAGCTGTACTCTGGTCTGCTCCACTCCTATAGAGCAGGCATGGACACGATGGAATTTTACTACAGCAAAACCTCAGTCACTGTAGTAGTAGAAATATCTGAGCCATTTTATGCAACACCCTTAAAGAATTCCCTTTGGTAAGGGAAAACTCCCCCTTAGGTTTCATAATTAAGGGACAACCTGAAGAGGTTTTATGCAACCGGGTAACTTGCCATAATTGACAGAATCATCTGCACTGATCCAGACTAGTGGCCTAGTGAAAGTCCTGACTTGAACCCCACTGAAATTATGTGGGGGGCCCTGCCTTGCATCTCTTCCAACTACAGGGAAATCACGTGCCACCAAAAAGACAAATAAACAGTTGAACCGAGACTTTGAGATGTGCGAGAAACACTTAACCCTAATTTAACATGCCATTAAGCATCATGCCTGACTAAGCATGAAGCTCAGCACTCAACGTGAGCATCACTTGACCCTTTTACATTTGACAGGAGCGCTGAAATATGTTCTTGTTTACTGGCTGAATTATGACAGATAGATAAAGGCCAGTATTGAACGGGATGGAGTGGGAAAGTTGCAGCAGAAGCTTAAAGAGCCCTGATGAATGAGAAGGAAAAGGATGTGGGAGAACAGCAGCAATGACAGTGCTCTGTGATGACCTGCATCAATGTTGTCCTAGTTACAGCAGGACAAAATGTTTGCCTCTGAATGAGCAGCTCACGTCCCACTTTAACCTCTTCTGTCCCTGACAAACAGTTCAGTCATGAGAAAGTAGTGATAAAATTCTATAACATTCTTTGCATCAAGGCCACACTGACAGAAATGGTACAACTAACATTAATGGCGCTCTAATATATTTTAGTAATGCCTTTTTTGTTTTGTTAAGAACATTGACAGACACTCAGATACTATAAGAGACACACAGATGCTATGTATAGTTCACTGTTGTTAATATGGCAATTTATAGCATTTTTAATTTAAACATAAATGAAAATGCAACAAAATAAATTCCACAAACCCTGCACAACTTTCTCACCCCTAATCTGTCCTTCCCCATGTATTTATACCCTAGGAAAGGTACTGAGGTGTAAGTGGAATAGCTCAGCTATGTTCAATGGAGCTCAGAGCTTCACTAAATCCCACTAGCCCAATTTTGTGGAGATTTTGAATGTTCTGCCGGTCTCTTGTATTCTGGTAACATGATGGAAACCAATTACAGGAAAATTGCTTTTCTGTTCTCGTTCCAGCCCCCTGCAAGCTCCCGCCTGATGGGGTCCGACTGGCGTGAAGAAACAAGACTAATGTTGTATTTTACTAGCTGACATGCCGCCTCTGAGCTTACAGCTAACAGCAAAATGAGAAAAATGGCTGAATAACTCCAAAAAACCGAGGAACAGTCACAATGGCATATTATAACACCCCCACCAGTCCTTATCTCATGCTGTGCAGTGCTATCTATTCTGGAAAAATGGAGTTACTCGCGCAGCTAGTCACAGATCAATGCCGACCAGGAGTGAACAAAACCAAATACATTATAGGCCAGGAGTGAAACAGGCAGACTTCCTGAACGCATTACTTTTTAATGGGACTGTTCAACCAGTCAGATAATCATGAGTAGTGTTATTAACTGGCTACTATTAAAGAGTAACTGCACCTTTTTTTTAATTAACAGCTGAAATGCACTGCTCTGTAATAATAAAATATACCAGCCTTGCTTGAAATGTGAACACATCTTTCCAAACTATAAAAATATCATTTTTATCGTGGTCAGTTCCGCCTCTGAAGCGCCCCTCTGGTTCAACTCTGCTATAGGCGCGGATGACATGTCTTCGTACCAAAGTATGATGACGCGTCACAATATGCAAATCAGTCAACCAATGTTACCGCCCCCTGATGCCACTCTACTCGTGCCACACTCATAAATACACCGATCAGTCATAACATTATGACCACCTCCTCGTTTCTATGCTCATTGTTCATTTTATCAGCTCCACTTACTATATAGGTGCACTTTGTAGTTCTACAATTACAGACTGTAGTCCATCTGTTTCTCTGCATACTTTGTTAGCCCCCTTTTACACTGTTCTTCAGTGGTCAGGTCCGCCATGGACCCTCACAGAGCAGGTACTATTTGGGTGGTGGATCATTCTCAGCACTGCAGAAACACTGACGTGGTGGTGGTGTGTCAGTGTGTGTTGCGCTGGTCTGAGTGGATCAGACACAGTAGTGCTGCTGGAATTTTTAAACACCTCAGTGTCACTGCTGGACTGAGAATAGTCCACCAACCAAAAATATCCAGCCAACAGCGTCCTGTGGGCAGTGTCCTGTGACCACTGATGAAGGACTAGAGGATGACCAACACAAACTGTGCAGCAGCAGATGAGCTAACGTCTCTGACTTTACATCAGTAAGGTGAACTGCCAAGGTAGGAGTGTCTAATAGAGTGGACAGTGAGTGGACACAGTGTTTAAAAACTCCAGCCGCACTGCTGTGTCTGATCCATAGCTTTTTTTCTGTATTACCTTTTAACATACCTCGGCCACCAGCCTACAGCAAATGTTCTCAACAAGTGAGAGATTTGTACAGTGCCCACAAGTGCGCATGTGTAGAAGGAAATGAGGCCATTAGGTACAACAGAAGTATGTTTTTCACAGCTTGATGTCAAAATGAATGAAACTTAGACAGTGTTCAAAGAAATCTACTCTATTCATTCAGAATTCAGTACATCTAAGAAATCAGACCTCAGGTTTTGTCAAATATGGACCTGCTGAACAGTTAATTAGAAGCCAGCTGTCACAGTTTTAGGGAATGTTCTACTGTTCAGCGCCTCTGCCGCTCGCTGTTAATCACTTTCTGGCACTATGTTAACTCTTCAGCGGCTTGAGCCAATGCCTCACACAGGTAAGGCTCAAGACACCCTGCCTAATCAGAAACATCTTCCCCTGTCAAAGATGGGATGGTAGTGGAGAAAAATCTTCAAGCTTGTAAGATCTCTCAGTTGCAAAAGTACTGTTTGATTCTGTCACTCTCCATATTTTCTGGTAGCTGACGTATGCTAGCTCTAAAAACACAGTAGCCAGGCCCACGCGTTTTCCTTCGCAGCCCCACCTCCAAACCCGAACATCACTGCCGTGCCAATCCCAAAGTGCCATGAATCAGAGGCAAAGGCAAGAAGCTGGCACGGATCTGGAGTAATGTGTCATTTGAATATTCAATTACTGGTTGTGAAGGTGGACTATTAACATTTACCTGAGTTTGGCTGGAGAAAGTGGGGTGGGAGGAAACATTCCAGGCTCAAATGAGTCAAAGTAGGTAAGAGTCCAGGAGAAACTGCAACACAGCACTCCAGCCAAGGAGGACAGAACCAGCATACTCCAAAACCCTGGACACAGAAAGTAGAACGAACGGTTGCCTACAGCATGCAAGCAACCTCAATGACTAAATACACATAAAAAGCCTGTGTCTTGGACCTACCTAGAAGTCTTATTTCTGCCCCATCTTCAGTGGTAATTTTCTCAGCTCGCAGATCTGCAGAACAAAAAAATGGCATGTATGATTTAAAAATATACACACTTATAAAAAAGATAGTTCTTCAAGATTGCTTTAGTAAAGAGAATGGTTCTATTTAGAACTATGAGTTCTATATAGAACCGTTTCATGCTTAAATAGTTTGTTGCATGGCGAAATGGTTCTTCAGACTGACAGAGAATGTCTGGCATATGGTTCTGTACAGAATCTTTTTGAAAATGGTTCTGTATAGCACCAAAAAGTGTTCTTCTATTGTTACCATATCAAGCTTTTAACAACAGAAGAACCCTTTTTGGTGCTACATATAACCATTTTCAAGAAGGTTCTATACAGAGCCCCATACAAAATATTCTCCATCAATCTTAAGAACCATTTTACCATTATTTAGTAAACCATATGACACAAAACTGTGCTGGACTGTCATAGTACAGGTCTAGAAATTGGGCATTACAATTTTATTACAGAATTAAATGAGTGGTAATATGATTTCACTACTTAAAGTTATGCATTAGTAGCCCATTGTGACTGGTAGAAAACCAGGGAATGTGCATTAAGGTATATTTTGCTCCCATACATCAAATTTGTAGCCAAACTCGTCACAGCTAGTTGAAAATGTGCGCACATGGTAGTAAAAAACAAAGATAAAACAAGAAGCCGATAAGGTCACTGAACTGTTCGCCTCTACGAGTACGTACGTTGACAAAGAGGTGCATACCTTTCAAAATGATATACAGAAATGAGACAAGCACTGCAATAAAGGAGAAAATGACCAGGCAACACAGCATAGAGCATATACGGGCTGGCCACTGGGTATCCCTCCAACACCGCTGCTGCGGAGACACGAGCCGATGCAGAGTCGTTTGCTTCACACGGCTCTCCTCTGAAGTCGTGTTTAGCGCGTCCCTGGCTCTGCTGGCATCATTGTCATCGTCTTCATCGCCCGAAAAAGCGTCAGGCGCTCGAAAGACCCCCGCCATGCTCGTTTCTGTCTTTCTCGAGTGCAGAAAAGCGACTCACTCTTTCCAAACTTTCTACTGTATGCTAGTTATGTTAGCGGGCTAACAAGCTATCCCTGGCTAGCGTTAGCTTGTTTACTCTTCTCACTTTTTCCGAAGTTAAAGTCCTAAATTGTTCCCAGCAGTGGCCTCAAGTCTTTATAATAACGTATGTCGTGTTTCATAAATGCTCACACACTTAATACACAACCTAAGCGTGTTAAGACGGCGTAGCGTTACGAAACAGACGAAAGTTTCAAATTTCGACTCTTTTTCAAAACACCGCGGTTCGTGCTTCCGCGAAGAAGCACCGCCCATCGCGATTGCGTCCAATCCAAATGGTGCATCGTCGTGCTTCAACGACACGATTGGACGAAATTGGTGTCAATCAAACGGGGTGTGTGAAAATAAAGTCGAATGCACAACTGTTTCGTCATCAGGCTGTTCGACCACAGAAATTCTGGATTTTGAGTCCAGGTGATGGGAATCAGTGGAGTCAATTCCAAGAGTCGTTGCATATAATTCCAGAAATAAAAAAAAAAATTCAATATATGGCGATGGAGATCTGGCAAAATGAAAGACACAATGTTGAATAAATATACAACATTATTAATGGAATTAATTATAAGGATTCATGATATTAACTTACTGTGCTACCATCTCAGTTGTTCCTCAGGGACACATGATGTCATTTTATTTAAATGACCTATTTGACCTTAGCAGGGCGATCTGGGGAGCTAACCCCAGCTAAATTAATCTAGCTAACTTTCCCAGCTGAACTGTACCTGAATTTCCTCAGTCAGTTCCGTTCAGGTGGATATTTATTCTGTTTTCCACTTTGTCTAAGGTAAAATATAGCCAGTCTACTGATATTTGTGTTGTTTAAAGACACTCAAACAAGCAGAAATAGTGATAGCCGGGGTTGGAGGTAAGGGAATGCCTGTATTCAGTCCAAATTACATTTTGTACAGGCCGTATTCAGAATACAGTTACTTTTACATTTTAGGAGAATACTTTTAGAATACCCACCCACCAAATTAAGAAAAATAACATCTTTAAAATAAACAATGAATGTTTTTTTTTTATTAATTATTTATAATCAGTGGACGGCCTGTAGCAAACATGCTTGTTAGAGAAACTCTAAAGAGAAACTCAAATAACAGCTTCTTTACCAACCTTTACTTTCCTATTAAAGCCTGAGTAGACTAATAAATCAATGTGATCAGTTATTAATCTCAGTGATACTGAGCTCTGCTAAAGCCTGAGTAGACTGATAAATCAATGTGATTAGTTATTAATCTCAGTGTTACTGAGCTCTGCTAAAGCCTGAGTAGACTGATAAATCAATGTGATGATCAGTTATTAATGTCAGTGTTACTGAGCTCTGCTAAAGCCTGAGTAGACTGATAAATCAACGTGATGATCAGTTATTAATCTCAGTCTTACTGAGCTCTACTAAAGCCTGAGTAGATTGATAAATCAATGTGATGATCAGTTATTAATCTCAGCGTTACTGAGCTCTGATAAAGCCTGAGTAGACTGATAAATCAATGTGATCAGTTATTAATCTCAGTGTTACTGAGCTCTGCTAAAGTAAGATTTTAAGATTTTTTTTAAATGAAAAGTGTGTGCTTTCCCAAAATCTGTTCTAAATGCATTTTGAATACATTGCTTTTTATGTCTTCTAACGGAATACGTTACTGAATATATTCAGGACAGCGTGTTCAGTAGTCATCACTAGTTTTTCAAAGTTTTTTGCCCAACACTGGTGACAGCAGCATATCTGGCTAGCTGAGTTCAAAGCTTTGGAGTCGACTCTCGATTCACAAATGCCTGGAATTGGGGAATCGACTCTTCTTTGGAATCGACTCCCAGCCCTATGTGACACTGGAGTGGTTTGTAGGCGTGATGGCCTCAGATGTTGTGCAACATCCTTTCAGACGTGTTTGTTCATGTAAGGTGAAGCGAGCTCATAACTGGTGTAGGGAAAGTGGAAAGACTTGGGAATGAAATAAAGATCTAATCCTATGTAATTGCTTGTAGGTTTGACATTATGAATAATCCACACATATCAAGCCTACATTAAATAAATTAGTTTTGACAGACTAAATAAAGCCCTAAAGCAATTTTTTGAATTCCAGTCCTGAGGGTCCTTGTGTCCCCCTCTGTGTTAGCATTAGATTATCATGCATTTGTGAAGTATACCAGCGAGAAATTGGCCTGGATTGTTTTTTCTCTAGCAGTTTTCCCCCCTTTTGCTTTATTGCTTAGTGCCTAATTTCTGAAGTTGATGCTGTTTTCCCTTCCCCATCCCCTCTTATTTCCTCCGTTTATCCTTTTGTGGCCAGCAGCAGATATGTAATATGAAATATGAAATGAACAGTCCCTCATACACCGTAGAAAACTCTTGTATCAGGTACCTTCTAGGAAATTCAAGCCATGTTTAAAAGGTGTCCTAAAAGCTCAAATCTACACAATCCTAAGGAACATACCCCTTATGCCACGTGACTTTTGTAGATCAGTGATATGTTACAGACAATTGGCAGTGATTCTGGATCTACACTATATGTCCAAAAGTTTGTAGACGCCCCTCCTAATTGTATATTCTAATGAATTCAGCTACTTTAACCAATAGAAAAAGACATCCCAGAGCTGTACATGAGCCATAGGTCATCATGCTCAAAGCCAACAGTTGGCTAGAGAGTATAAAGTCTCAAATCCCTGGGCTGCGGAGCAGTGGAACTACGTTCTCTGGAGTGATGGAGCTCCATCCAAGACCTTTGGGATGAGTCGGAGTGGCGTTTATGATCCAGAGCTAATCATCCAACATCAATACCTGACCTCACTAATGCTCTTGTGGCTAAATGCAATCAAATGCTTACAGCAGTCTTCCAACAGTACATAGACTTCCCAGAAGAGTAGAGGCTGTTACTGCAGCAAATGTGGGGACAAACTAAACACTGTAAACCCTGACAAGTTCAGTTTACTCAAACTTTTTAAGGTAACTCATTGCCCCAAATTAAGTTTTCAAACTTTTAAGCTTAATTAACAAAGTTTAAGTATAAATGACAAAAACTATCCTGTTGCAGAAACTTGATTATCTAAGCTTAAGTAACTACTATGTTGTTTAAATTCATTATTTTCACATAATTGACATAATTATAATGATCACAAGCTGAGATGTACAAAAAAGCTCTTTCTAAAAGAGTTCTCAAAGTTACATAGGCCTGCTCTTATGTCAAATCTAAGAAAACCTACTGACTCTGCAGTCGTTTCAGTTGTATTGATAAAACCAAACTGACTAGTCAGCAGAGACACTAAACACATTCATGGTTGGGATGCCTAAAACATGTAAAGTACATTCAAAGTTATAGTTAACATTTATATAACGTGAACATGTCTGTTTGAAAACAACATCTGAAGGAAAAATAATAACTAATAAACAGAATCAACTGACTGACTTGGAATTCTGGGTGACTCGACCCCAAACTCTCGATTTTCTTGTCTTTTTGAGTTTGTTCTTCTCACAAAAACCAGTACACTTGAACTTGCCTGGATAGTACGAAAGTCCAGAGAGGCCATGATGAGGTAGTTATAATTTTCAAGATTGTTACCTTGAGATAACAAGTTAACTATCTTGTGATCTCAAGATAATAAAGTTGTTATCTTAAGGTAATGAGTTAAGGAGCTTGTGATCTCTAGATAACAAAGTTGTCCAAAGTTGTTACCGTGAGATAGTGAGTGAAGTATCTTGTGATCTCAAGATAACAAAATTGTTGAGATAATGAGTTAAGTATCTTGTGATCTCAAGATAACAAAGTTGTCCAAAGTTGTTATCCTGAGACAGCGAGTGAAGTATCTTGTGATCTCAAGATAACAAAATTGTTGAGATAATGAGTTAAGTATCTTGTGATCTCAAGATAACAAAGTTGTCCAAAGTTGTTTTCTTGAGACAGCGAGTGAAGTGTCTTGTGACCTCAAGATAACAAAATTGTTGAGATAATGAGTTAAGTAACTTGTGATCTCAAGATAACAAAGTTGTCCAAAGTTGTAATCTTGAGATAGCGAGTTAAACATCTTGTGATCTTAAGATAACAAAGTCATTATCCTGAGATAATGAGTTAGTTAGCTTGTAATCTCAAGATAACAAAGTTGTTATTTTGAGATAATGTGTTAAGTATCTTGTGATCTCAGGATAACAAAGTTGTTATCCTGAGATCACACAATAATTAACTTGTTATCTCAAGATAACAATCAAGAAAACAGCTCATGGCCTCTCTGGACTTCTGCAGGATAGAGTGAGGAAAAAAAGTAATTATATTTTGACTATTTAAGTTCAAATAACATCGGAGCTTTCAGTGCACATTTAAGGGAAATTCCACCAAATTCTGCATAATTAAATTATTAATCAAAGTCATTCAGAGTAGTTTGATGTGAATTATGAGTTATAATTGTTCACAGTTTTGGTGATAAGAAATAAACGTTTGAAGTGTTTAAAGCCTCTAAAAGCTACAACACTAAGACTTATTACACTAAATGAAAACAAACAGATTACATGATGCCAGAAACAATGTTTTATAATAGTTTGAGATAAGGTTTGGGTCTAAAACATATTTTTAAAAGCTGGTCCTGGGGAGATGTACATGCGTAAAGGTTGTAAGGCAAAATAGTACCCACATTTTTTATTTTGTTTGGAATGTTTTGGAAAAATCTCTGCTTTTATTATTACCAGCATTACATGTTAAAACTCAGAATACATGTGTGGGTTCTTTGGCCATTTTGGGTAGAAAATAAAATGGCTATATTTGTGTTGTAGACCTAGTTCTGGTGAAAGAACCTCAGTATGCTTAACTAAATTGAACATTTCAGCCTGACTGAGAGCACGCTCAAGCTGATCTCCTGGACAAATTAAGCCCGCTAATTCCGGCTCTAAGGCCGAGAATGCTCCAGTGCCTCAGCACAGCCTCAATCACAGGCTGCCCGCCTGCCTGCTCTCCACTATTTTCATGGTGCACTTCCTTAACTCCCCTTAGCATTTGTGACAGGGGCGCTAGGTGTACCCACATCTTCTCTGTAGCGAGAGGAGATGTCATCTCACATCTTTAGCCCTGCTCCATGGCCTGATATCCAGCTCAGAAATGTCTAATCCTGCAAACAAACAAGACAGGGATAGCCTACTGTGGCCCCATTAGCCAGAATACCCATTTATACCCACAGTATCTTTCAAAAAGGTTCATCAAAGCTGCCACTATAAAGGCGTGGCTGACTGGAATGTACTGGCTAGTTAGCATAATTGGTTACTT